GAGTAATATTAGATAACACTGTGGTGGTGTTAGAGTAATATTAGATAACACTGTGGTGGTGTTAGAGTAATATTAGATAACACTGTGGTGGTGTTAGAGTAATATTAGATAACACTGTGGTGGTGTTAGGAGTTAAACTAGGTTTAAAAGTCTGAGCTGAGTCACTTTATGAAGACATGTAATGACTTTAACTGCTCTGTGAGTTTTCACACTGCAGCCTTACAACAGATGTTGTTCAGCTGGATGTGTGTGCTTCAGAAAGAGGAAACTGAAATTAGACCCAGGTGAATCAGACGKAACATGTGAGGAACAACATGGTTTCTGTCAAGTTACTGTAGATTTAAAAACMAAGGACTGTCACTTCATTTGTCCAGTTTTAGATTTAAGAGTTAAAAACCAGACAATGACCTTTCTCTGTAACCTGCAGTTTGAAATCTGCCTTCTGACTGAATTGTCTCTGRTTGTCCTGGTTGGTTCTTGGAGGATCAAACTTTCATTTAGCAACACATTCAGACAGCTACCACTGAGCTGGTGCTGAACTGGGTGACTGTGGGATCACTGGTGCCCATTTCCATCAGTCCCAGTGTGAGGGGCGGGCTACACCCTGGACAGGTCTCAGTCCATCACAGASACACAGAGACGGTTTAGACTTATCATTTAACACAACAGTCATGTTGTTGGTCTGTGGGAGGAAGCTGAAGCATCCAGAGAAAACCCAAATATGCACAGAGAGAACATGCAAACTGTACCCAGAAAGGTCCCTGGCCAGTATTTCATACATGTACAGTTGTACAGATTGTCTGTACTTTACACAGATGTTCCATCATTTTGCAGGAATATGGACATATAGACCAATCCCTCAGATGTTTTCAAAACCTCAGTTTCAAATGTATTTNTGTAGATGAGTGTAAACTGGCCTGATGATGTAGATCTTCTGTGCTGGCTCATTGTTTTGAACGGTGGCTGATTGGTTTTTGGAGGAGAAGAAGAAGAAAGTATTACTGAAGCAGCTCCTGAAACTATCCACCTGCTGACTCGTAAACCTTGTYTACAGAACAATATACTTATTAAATGATATTTTTCTTGAGATTTTATGTCATTTATTATAAAAGTTATGGACAAGCAAAATATTTGTCCATCAGTCAGATTTTGTGAAATGTCTTTTTGTCTTCCTCTGCTGATGCTGTTARTGTTGTAAAATAAAAAAAAGCCTGTTTCTTTATAAACGAGTGTGACTTGATGAATTGATGTCTTGTGTTGACCTGCAGGTTGGATTCGTTACTCAGAACGGATCCTGGGCAGTTTGGTCACGCCTCATATCTGCACAGCCAGGTCTCCTCAGCAGATTATGGGCTGTTGGGTCAAAGATTACTTCTCTAAACAGCAGGTGAGCTAACGTCACATGGTTCTGTTAAAGATGCAGAGCCTTTTAAATCTSTTGTTGAAGCTTTGCTCACTAAATGAAGAGTAATCTTTACACTGTGCTGTCATCAGAGAGAGTATAAAGGTTTTGTTTGGATTTAATCCTGACTTTAATGAGACTGTGTGTAGCTTGAAGAAGGAAACATGTTTTAAAGACTAGCTTGGATTGTTTTGAAGTGGGGATCTGGGGCGTTATTAGCTGTCAGCATCCTACCTGCAGTTAACAGCTGTTTTAGTGGTGTCAGGGAGAAGCTTTTAGGATGGAATTAAGCTAATGGCTAATCAGAAACAGTTTCAAAGATACTTTACCTAAAACACTTGTGATCTAAGATCTAATCCTCTGCAGGTAAGATAATGACTGTTAACAATCCCACACAACAGTTCCTGCATCACTAACCTGATTTTTCTGATGTTGAAGCGTTTCTAATGTCTGACTCCCTGTCAGAGAGAACCTGCACTGAGTACTGTAATGTGTAGAAGCACAGTAATATTAGATAACACTGTGGTGGTGTTAGAGTAATATTAGATAACACTGTGGTGGTGTTAGAGTAATATT